CGCGTCTCTACGCGCGCGGTAAGAGGCGCTACGACCGCAAGCAGTCTGGTTATGGTGGTCAGACGAAGCCCATTTTCCACAAAAAGGCGAAGACCACCAAGAAGATTGTTTTGAAGCTTCAATGCTCGAGCTGCAAGTCCATCATTCAGAACGTTCTCAAGCGCACGAAGCACTTTGAGCTGAACGACAAGAAGAAGACCGGCAACAAGGACCCCACGTGGTAAGTTCACTACTACTCTGGCTCTGTTTTATTTCAAGAGTTTTTGAACTATTTTTCCTTTTTTTTTTTGAAGTGTGGCCTTCACCGGCACTGATGTGACCCGCAGATGTTCAGCAAATTGCCCGTGACGAATCAAAGTGGGCTTTTTTCTTCCTGCTTTTTTAAAAATACGCCGTAAAGATTTTTAAAACCTCGCAAAAAAAAAAAGATAAATACACACACACACCCACAGAAGAAAGAAGAAAAAAAGAACCATGTCGACAAACTTGGCGTATATCAACCCAGGGGGAAGGCAGGCACGGAAAGCTAGCGCCCTTGAGATAAACATGGTGGCTGCACGAGGCTTGCAGGAGGTTCTAAAAACAAATTTGGGCCCCAGAGGGACAATGAAGATGCTTGTTTCTGGCGCCGGACTGATTAAGATAACAAAGGATGGTAATACGCTTCTAGGGGAAATGCAGATTCAGCACCCTACTGCGGCGTTGATAGCCCGCGCAGCTACCGCTATTGATGATATCACTGGAGATGGCACCACGAGTACCGTCCTGGTCATTGGTGAGATGATGCGTCAAAGTGAGCGGTACATTCAGGATGGTCTACATCCCCGTATCCTGACGGAGGGCTTCCGTCTCGCTCGTTGTGAGGCATTGAAGTTCCTCGAACAGAGCATTTTAAGGATTCCTGCAGAGGAGCAACGGGAGTTTCTGACAAATGTGGCGCGCTCAGTCCTTTCCACAAAAGTGGGGTTGAATATGTCGGAGCAACTTGCGGAAGCTGTTGTTGATGCTGTCCTTGCGATTGCTCCCAAGGACGGAAAAGAGATTGATCTGCACATGGTTGAGATTATGCACATGAAACATCGGCTGAGTTCTGACACGAGTTTTGTCAATGGTGTTGTTTTGGATCATGGAGGCCGCAACGACGATATGCCAAAGTATCTGGAGAATGCGTACATCTTGACTTGCAATGTTTCCCTGGAGTATGAACGAAGCGAGCTCAATACAGGATTTTACTTTAAGGACCCTGCGGAGAAGGAACGTATGGTTGCTGCAGAGCGAAAAGTGACCGACGATCGCGTTCGGGACATTATTGCTCTTAAGAAGCAAGTCTGCACAAAGGAAAACAAACGGTCTTTTGTTGTTATCAACCAGAAGGGCATCGACGGCATCGCACTAGAGATGCTGTCTAAAGAGGGCATATTGGCTCTCCGCCGAGCCAAGCGTCGCAACATGGAACGACTTGTTTTAGCTTGCGGAGGCGAGGCTGTGAACACGACTGAAAATCTCACACCTGAGGTGCTTGGAGAGGCTGGCCGAGTTCAGGAGTACACACTTGGGGATGACAAATACACCTTTGTGGAGGATGTAATTAAGGGCCAGAGCTGTACTCTTGTTGTGAAGGGGCCAAACGATCATACAATTGCCCAGATAAAGGATGCCATCCGCGATGGTCTTCGATCAGTCAAGAACGCATATGAGAATGGTGGTGTCATACCAGGCGCCGGTGCATTTGAGGTCGCTTTGCACGATCATCTGTACCGTTATGCTGATACTCTCACAGGTAAACAGAAAATTGGGGTGCGTGCCTACGCTGACGCCATGCTTATAACCCCCAAAACACTTGCGGAGAACTCTGGCCTTGATGTTCAGCAATGCCTTATTACTCTTCAAGAGGCGAGCCGGACAGCACGGGAACAGAACCGCTCTGTAGGCCTTCGTCTCGACACAGGAGGTGTAGTGGACCCCGTTGCAGCTGGTATACTGGATAATGTAATCGTGAAGAAGAGCATTTTAGAAACGACGGGTGATATCACAGCCCAACTGCTCTTGGTGGATGAAATTATGAAGGCGGGTCGCCGTGGGGCGGGTGGGCCGCCACCACAATAGAGCACAGATCTATTTCTAAAAAATTTTTTCAATTTTTTTTTTTTAATCACAAAAAAAAACAAGGAATATGAAAAATCGGCAAGGATTAATGGTAATATAGATTGTCAACGAATCAGTGATTTAAAAATGGTTCGTTGCGTTTTACCCAGATTCTGGAATGTAAGAGGGTGAAAAATGTTCATATTTGAAAGAATGTTGTAAAATGCATCCTTTTTTTTTTCATCTTTTTTTTGGATTTGTTGCTAGTTTCGTTGAAGCCTAGAGAAAGATGGCCAAGGGGGAAAAGGAGGAGGCACCCGTTGACAAGCGGGTGCAATGGCTTGAGCAGCGCATTATTGCAGCTTTGAAGGCAAAACCGGTGGACACCAGAAAGCTCATCGACAACGAGGAGAGTCGTGGTCAGATCAATGAATTTCTTGACACAGCGGATGCCCGTCATCTGTATGTATACCAGTTGTCCAGTGGGATGCTTGCTGCCCGGATTGAACCACCGGATGAACTGAAAAAGAAAGGAATCTATTTCACAAAGACAAAACGTGAGAGGGTCAGCGACGATCAGCACATGAAGGGAACCGTAGTGTTTGGTGACTTATGTCCTGATGCACTATCTGGCCTTAATGCTATGACTCGAAACGTTTATGCTCAGCTTATTAAGCGTGAGAAGCGAAACGTCAGCCAGGTTCCAGATGTTGCCGTCGCTGAACTCATGGATGATACAAATGGTTTGCTGGCGCAGATGCTGGTGACCCTGGGTCTCAGTCAAGGGAAAACTCTCCTTCCCATGCCACCGGTGCAGTTGCCTTCAAGAGTCAGTGATGGCCCTTTTGATGCGGAGTTCCTCTATCAATTGGAGAGCACCATCATAGCTTGGACTGCCCAGATCCGTTCAGCTATTGAGTCGTCTCCAGGTGAAATGACAGAGGGTTCTGCAGGAAAGGGATCTCTTCCCGGGCCGCTAGACGAAATTGCCTTTTGGAAGAGTAAAGCAGACAATCTAGCGAACCTTGATGAACAGCTTTACTCTGTTAAGGCTCTAAAGATTCTTGTGATTCTGAAGAAAGCTGAGAGCAGCTACTATGCCCCGTTTTCGCAGCTCATGAATGAGCTCAAAGAAGCCGCGACAGAAGCGAGGGACAACTACAGGTTTCTTAAACCGATTGAACCGGAATTTGAAGCCATGTGTCCCTCCTTCTCTGGGCACATAGAGTTTACACAATTGGCTACAAGTGGAACCTTCAAGCGGCTCTTTCATTATTTGTATCTCCTATGGACTCAATCAGGTTTCTACAATACTTCTACACGGTTGGTTGTTCTTCTTCGTGAAATGTGCAATGATCTCATTGGTATGGCAGCTGAGCATGTGAACGTTGAAGAGTTTGCAAAGGGTTTTGAAAAAAAAGATGCGATTACCCGACTGGGAGAGACTCTAGCCATTTGTGGTCAATTTAAGGCATCATACTTCCATTATAAATCATATGTATCTACTGTGGCACGCCCTTGGAAATTTCAAAATGCAGCTTTCTTCTCCAGGCTTGATGTGTTTCTGGAGCGTTGTCACGATCTTTTGGATATTATGGAAACCGCTGTGCTGTTTGACAAAATGGAAAATATAAAAGTTGGAGGCGCAGAAAGTTTGTTGCACACAAAAGAAGCTGAAGAAATTAAGACCGAATTTGATGAGGCACATCTTAAGTTCTTTGGTGTTGAGTACAATTTGTTAGACGTTGATGAAACCCGATTTGATTCCGACTATTCCATTTTCCGAGCAAAGATTCGAGAACTTGAACGTCGTCTCAGTGCTATTCTTGTAACAACCGTCGATGACGCAAAGGCTATTTCAGAAGTTTTCAAAGCAGTGGACACATTTGATGGTTTCACCGATCGTGCTGCCGTCCAACAGGAGTGGTCCAAAAAACAGAAGGCTGTTTTGGATTGTTTCCATCAAGATCTTCTTACAGCACAGGAAGCTTTTTACCAAGGCGATTCAGCGGGGTTCTATCCAAACATTCCACCTCTTGCGGCAGCTGTTGTACGATGCAATGCTTTGCTTGATCGTATTAATGAGTCTCATACCCGTGTCAGTGAACTTTCACCCGCGGTTCTCGAAAGTGAATCCGGAAAAGAGACGATGGAGTTGTATGAGAAACTCAAGGGAAATCTGGAGGAGACTATTAGACAGAAGTACGAAGCTTGGTGTGCTGATGTTGGCTCGATCAGTGTGGAAAAGTTGAAGTTGCCCCTCTTGGAAATGGGCCGCGGCAACAACCTGAAGGTCAATTTTGACCCTGCCCTTGTGAAAACTCTTAGGGAGGTTTACTATTTGGAGGTTATGAATTCTTTTGATACTCGTGACCGTCAGAAACTTGACGTCCCTACCGATGTTCAGGCTGTATTTGAGAAGCGTGAAACATACCGTTCGCAGACAATGAAACTTGACTATGTGTGCTCAACCTACAATAATTTCATGAGCTCCTTACGTCAGGAGGATGAACGCCCTCTTATACAGGCAGAACTAGATGCCTTTGAGCATACAATAACGCAAGGGATGACCGAGGTGCGTTGGCACGATGGAAATGAAGTCGACTCCTTTATTGAAGTAGCTTTACAAAAGGTGAATGCTATTGATCGTGTTGTTACGACATTTCATGCAAACGTTCAGCACATGGTGGACTCTCTGGAGGAATACCGCAAAAATGACAAGCTTCTGCCTCTTAACCGCACTGAAGGTGCGAAGACTATGACGGAACATGAGTTGAAAAAATGTCTTGAAGAACACTCCAAAAATCGTCACCGTGACATAGCTGTGCGAGGGAAACATATCCACAAACTTCTCGAGGAGAGCTTTGAAGCCGTTAACCGACTAAAGGATAGTGAAGGATCCCCTCGTATTACTGAGGATAGTGAGGCATGGGAGAAGTATGTAAGGTACGTTGATGGAGTTGTCAAGAAGGCAATAAGCGATGCTGTCATTTACTCACTTACTTGCATACGAAACCAGGTAGATGCCGAATGGATCACCGAAAACGAAGGTATACCGTTAGTTGAGGTGAGATTGTGCCTTACTAGGCCAACAGCGGACACCCAGCCGTGCTCGCGGTATGAGCCATACATTCAAGGTGTCCTAGAAGGGGATGCGTCAGTACGAAAGCTCTTGTCCAACGCCATGTTGAGTATTGAAGCTGGTGCAGATCTTATTGATCCCCTTGTTAGTGGTCGGAACTACACCACTGAAGTGGGAAATAATGAAGAAGTAAAGCGATTGAAGGGGGAAATTGATGTTTTGTTGACTCAAAACTTTGAGGCGTGTGAAGAGTATCGTCGTAACTTTGATGAATTCAAGCATTTGTGGGAAACTGATCGAAAGAAGGCGTTCACAGCATTTTTAGAAAAGGACAAGATCATTAATCGACGCACCAGCTACACTGAAGAGGACTTATCAAAGGAAGCTCCACAAACTTCAAAGGAGTATTTTGGTGTCAGTTTGCAGGAATTTAACCGAGCTATCACGGACTATGAGCGTATTGGCGCGAGAATCAATAGTGCTGAGGAAAGACGCATAGAGAGTTTCGTTTCAATTGATGTGAAACCTCTTCGTGCGGCATTGCGTGATATTTGTAAGAAGTGGAAGGATATGTACTCTGACTTTTTGATGAACAAGATTTCAACAGATCTGGAGAATCTATATGCGTTCATGAATGATGCTGATAAAGGACTTGATGTTGAAGTGCTTGACGGCAATGTTGAATCACTTAAGTGTGTCATGCGTTGGATTAGAGATTGCCGCAGAAAAAATCAGGAGGTTATGGGTAGTGAAGAAGAGAGAGAAGCTGGGGGTATGTTTGCACCTATTAAAGCTGCTATTCGTATGTTGAAGAGCCACGCAAACACCTCATCCGCCTTGGAAGTGGAGTTGGCGAAGATTGAGAAATTGGATGAATTACGGAAGCCTGCTCCGGAGCAATGGGTTGCTCTTAACAAGAAGGCTTTAAATGTACGGGCACAAAATTCCATTGTGCAAGACAGAGAGGCCGAGAAAGTAAAGGAGGAAGTTTTACTTTTTGAAGAAAAACTCCGGCAAGAGGCCCAAACATTCCGACAGAAACGTTTGTTTAGCTACGCCATTGATCGCAGTATTGTTTATGATGAAATGGACGAGGTTTACCTCCACTTCATGGAAATTGAGCACGAAGCAAAAGAACTCCAAAACCTACAGGAACTTTTCGACTTAACCCCCGCACAATTTAAAGAAATCCGTGAATGTCGCCATGATTTGATGATGTTGAAACAGGTATGGGACTTAAACGAGCACGTCATGTCACAGTTCAGTGACTGGATGAAGTCGACTTTTAAGAATGCCGATGTTTCGTTGTTTGAAGATGAGTCCAAAAAACTTTCCAAGCAACTTCAGCAACAGCCGATGAAGGTGAAGTCGTGGGATTGTTTCAAGGGTGTGGATGAGCAGGTGCGTAACATGCGAACCTCCTTGCCGCTGTGTCAATCGTTAAGTTCCCCATCTATGCGTCCTCGGCACTGGCAATTTCTGGTGACAGCAACCAAACAACCCGGTAGTATCGACCCTGAGGCGAGTGACTTTACCCTGGAGAAGCTGTTTTCTCTTGGTCTTCACAAGTTCTCTGATGAAGTGGCAAACATTGTTGAAAAGGCGGATAAGGAACTGCGGATTGAGACAAATCTCAACAAAATCATTGATATTTGGGAGAAGATGACCTTTACGTACACAAAAGATGAAGGTCTCGACACCTACTTGCTGGGTTCGGTGGATGACGTTGTGGAGCAGCTGGAGAATGACAACAATGCACTTTCCTCTATGCTTTCAGATCGTTTTGTGGAATACTTTTATGAAAAAGTAATTCACTGGCAGAAAAATCTTGGGACTGTTGACACTTGTACTGGGAAATGGATGGAAATACAACGACAATGGATGAATCTGTTTCCTATTTTTGTTCGCTCCGCGGACATTAAGGAACAACTTCCTCAAGATGCCAAAAATTTCGCTGAGGCGGATCGAGTATTTCGGATTCTGATGAGCAAGGCACACAAGTACACCAATGTTATTGAAGTTATCTGCAGTGATACCTTGAAGAATGAATTGGAGCGAAACGAGGAACTGGACCAAACATTGAACTATATTCAAGATATTCTTGCTCAATGTGAAAAGGCTCTGGCAGACTACTTGGAGACGAAGCGCAAAATATTTCCACGATTCTTCTTTGTATCTGCAACGGACTTGATTGATATTCTTTCGAAGGGATCTGAGCCTCGTGCAGTGATGGTTCATATGAGCAAGATTATTGACGCTGTGGATACATTTTCGTTTGCAAACAATCCCAACTCTGGGGCTGGACCAAAAGACACATATGAAATGATCTCTGTGCAGGGTGAGAAGGTGAGTCTTGCGGAGGATTATACGTGTGATGGCCCAGTTGAACTGTGGCTTGATGGTCTCATTGGCGCTATGAAGAAGGCTGTAAAGAAACAAATCAGGGAGGCAAATGCGAGTTATATTGAGAAACCACGAAATGAATGGATTTATCAGTATCCTTGCCAGGCAATTATTGTTGCTTCACGTATCTGGTTTACAACTGAAGTTCACCAGGCATTTATTCAAATTGAGGAGGGTAATGACATGGGTATGAAAGATCTTTTGAAAAATCAGAAGTCTCAACTTGATAGTCTTATCAAGGAGGTTCTAATTGATCGTACGTCCAATGAGCGGAAAATGCTTGTGCATCTTATTACCATTGATGTCCATAATCGTGATATTGTACAGGCTATGGTGGATGAACGTGTTGACGCCGTGGATGCTTTCAGTTGGCAGTCACAATTGCGCTATTACTGGGATGAAGCAAAGGGAAATGAAATCCGAATTGCCGATGCTGAATTTATTAATGGATACGAGTACATTGGTCTTTGTGGTTGTCTTGTTATTACCAAATTGACAGACCGCTGCTACATTACACTTACTCAAGCTCTTCGCCTGAAAAAGGGAGGAGCGCCTGCTGGACCTGCAGGAACTGGCAAAACTGAAACAACCAAGGACCTGGCGAGAAATATGGGTATTGCATGCTACGTGTTCAATTGCTCTGATCAAATGAATTACATTACGCTGGGCCAGATTTTCAAGGGACTCGCAATGTCTGGATCTTGGGGTTGCTTTGATGAGTTCAACCGTATTTCTATTGAGGTGCTGTCTGTCGTTGCGACGCAAGTTGGGTCCATCTTGAATGCTCTTAAGGAGCAAAAACAAAGGTTCCGTTTTATGGATGAAGAGATATCTCTTATTACGTCTGTTGGTATGTGGATTACCATGAATCCTGGTTATGCTGGTCGTACTGAACTCCCCGAGAACATCAAGTCGTTATTCCGCCCCTGCGCTATGGTTGTCCCCGATCTCAAGAACATCTGTGAAATTATGTTGGCTGCTGAAGGTTTTGGAGATGCTAAGGATCTTGCGCTCAAGTTTGTGACACTCTACAGATTAAACAAGGAGCTTCTTTCTCCTCAAGACCATTACGATTGGGGTCTCCGTGCAGTAAAATCTGTTCTGTATATTGCTGGTGCCCTGAAGCGAGGTGACCCAGACATTCCGGAGCGTAATGTACTCATGCGTGCGTTGCGTGATACCAACATGGCAAAACTTAGCAAGGATGATGTATACGTGTTCATGGGACTTATTCGTTCCCTATTCCCAAATTTAGAGGTTCCAAAGAAGGACAAGCCCGAACTTGTCGCCGCTTGTAAGGAAGTATGCCGGGAGAAGGGTAATCTCCCTGGTGAGAATGACATCTTTATTCTAAAATGTGTCCAGTACGAAGAGCTATTGCATGTTCGTCACTCTGTTTTTGTTTTGGGAGCCGCTGGATGTGGTAAAACGGAATGCTGGAAGTGTTTGCAAGGTGCACTTACCAAATTGCACAAGGATGAGTGGAAGGCTAAGGCGGTGTCATCTTGTCTGAATCCAAAGGCTATTACCTCTAACGAATTGTACGGATACTTTACCCCCAATAAGGAGTGGCGAGATGGTATCATATCTTGCATATTCCGTGAGTACGCATTAGAGTCAAAAAAGAGACAGAACATGAAGTGGATTGTTCTGGACGGTATCATCGATGCAGAGTGGATTGAATCAATGAATACTGTGATGGATGATAACAAGATGCTAACATTAGTGTCGAACGAACGTATTCCTTTGACAGACTCTATGCGAATGATATTCGAGGTGTCTCATTTGCGTAACGCATCACCAGCTACAGTTTCCCGTGCTGGCGTCGTCTTTATCAATGAGAGTGATCTGGGTTGGGGCCCTTTTAAAGACAAGTGGATTGCCACCCGAGACAAACGTGAAGGCACGATACTTGATAGTCTTTTCGACAAATACGTTCCCTTCGTATTCGAGTTTTGGAAACGTAGCATGAAGCCTATTGTCTCTCTTATGGATATCAATGTAGTGCAGACCATTTGCTTTATTGTGGAAGGTATATTCGCACAGCTGTCGCAAGAAGAACTAACGAAGCATCCGAACCACTTTGAGGTGTATGAAAAGTATTTCGTTTTTGCAGTTATTTGGGCCTTTGGTGGACCTTTGCCGGGCTCTGATGGACGAATAGATGCAAGAATGAACTTTTCAAATCAATGGAAAAAAGAATTCCCGAATATGAAAATTAGTGACACCGGATCCGTATTTGACTTCTACATTGATAAGAACAAGGACGATAATGGTGTGTATCAGTACGAGTGGAAACCATGGAGTGATCTTGTTCAGCCATACATTCCGGACCCTGATAAACAGCTCTCCTCTGTCTCAGTGCAAACTGCGGACAGTGTACGCATGTCACATCTTATGAGTCTGTTAGTAGATAACGCGAAATCTGTCATGCTTGTTGGAACAGCTGGTACCGGTAAAACAAATTTGATCATGTCCAAATTAAGATCTCTGGACAATGAACATGTTTTGTTCCGTGTTATATCATTCAACGCACGTACTTCTTCCAGTGGACTTCAGACTGTGATGGAACAATCACTGGAGAAACGTTCCGGTCGTACATACGGTCCTTTCAACCGAAAGAAACTTGTGTTCTTCCTTGACGACATGAACATGCCTGCACCTGATAAATACGGAACGCAAGAGGCTATTGCACTTCTTCAGCAGCATGTTAACTACGGTTTCTGGTATGATCGTGTGAAGATCATTCAAAAAGAAGTTGTGGACCTACGTTACGTTGGTGCGATGAACCCAAAATCTGGTACTTTTACAGTATTGGATCGTCTCTTGCGCCACTTCGCTGTCTTCTCTACGAATATGCCGGAACGAGCGGATTTGGTGAGTATATATGGACAGATTCTACAGGCGCATACTAAGAAGTTCCAACGCGACATCCGGGACGCAATGACAACCCTTATTACCAACGCTACCATTGAATTACACTATTTGGTATCCAAGCAGTTTTTCCCCACTGCCGTTAAGTTTCACTATCAGTGGAATATGCGCGAGATGTTTAACATTTTCCAGGGACTTTGCAAAGCTCACCCCAAACTCCATACCACGCCAATGCAGTTTGCACGCCTTTGGGTTCATGAATGCAATCGAACGTTCCGTGACCGAATGGCAGAGGCAGATGATATGAACCGCTTCGATGCTGTTTTTCTGGAGGTGATAAGCCGTGCTGGTTTTAGCGATATCAACCCGAAGGAACTGATCCAAGAACCATTATTGTGGGGACCTTTCCATACCACTCCAGAGGGTGAGGAGAATGTTTACGAGGAAGTGACCGTTGATAACGCGCAGTCATTCCTTATAAAGAAACTTGAAGAATACAATGATAACTATGCTCGAATGGACCTCGTTTTATTTAATCAGGCAGTTGAACACTTATGTCGCATTTCACGTATCACGTCTAATCCACGTGGTAACGCCTTGCTTGTTGGTGTTGGCGGTTCTGGTAAACAGTCCCTTGCTCGTCTTGCATCATTTATCAATGGGCATGATGTCTTCCAAATCCTTGTGACGAGCAGCTACGGTATTACAGAATTCCGTACTGACATGCAAGAGTTATATCGCAAGTGTGGTCTGAAGGGGTACCCATTCGCCTTTATCATCACCGATACTCAAGTTGTGTCTCAGGATATGCTGGTCTACCTCAACGATATGCTTGCCAGTGGCAATGTTCCCGAACTTTTCAACCAGGACGAGCGTGATGGCATAATAGGTTCGATCACCAATGAAGTTAAGGCTTCTGGCTTTACGGATTATTCAAACCCGGATGTCTGTTGGGATTACTTCATCAACAAGGTGAGGTCAAACCTTCATATTATTCTGTGTTTCTCTCCAGTCAGTAAAAACTTCGCTAAGTGGTGCCGTCAGTTCCCTGCCCTTGCCAATACTACTGTTATAGATTGGTTCTTACGTTGGCCAGAGCAGGCTCTTAAATCGGTTGCAAAGCGGTTCTTATCAGAAATTGAGCTGGGTGGACCGAAAATGACGAAGAACATCGCTGATTTCATGGCATCTTGCCAAGAGAAGGTTACTGAGACTTGTGAGGAGTATTACCTTCATGAAAAGCGACGTGCGTACACGACACCGAAGTCATTTTTGGAACTTATTGCCTTCTACAAGGAGCTTCTTACCAAGAAACGTGATAACCTTAATGATAGGACGCACCGTTTGGTGAGTGGTATAGATAAAATCAAGGAAGCTGGTGTCCAGGTTGCAGCATTGCAAGATGTCTTGCAGAGGGAAAGTATAGAAGTCGAGGAGGCACGTCAAAAAACAGCAGCATTAATGGAAACCGTAGGGAGGGAAAAGGCTATTGTGGAGGAACAGAGTGCCATTGCAGCAAAAGAAGAGGAAAAAACAAACAAAATTGTTGCAGAGGTAGAGACATTTGAAAGCCAGTGCGCAGAAGATTTAGCGAAGGCGAAACCTTTGGTGGAGGAGGCTCTTGCAGCGCTTGATACGCTTGACAAAGCATCCATTTCAGAGTTAAAGAACTTAGGTAAACCCCCAGTCGATGTACAAATGGTTGCTATATGTGTGAAGGTACTTACGTCCAATCCGCGTGCTATTCCTTCAGTAAAGAACCGAACATGGGCAGAGTGCAAAAAGATGATGAATCAGGTTGATCGTTTCCTGGCAGAGTTAAAGGGGTTTGACGTAAATAATATTCCACAAGTGTGCATTGATCAGATTCAAATGTACATCACAAACCCCGCCTTTGACCCTGAGAACATCAAGACAAAATCCTTTGCTGCGGCAGGCTTGTGCAAATGGGCCGTTGGTATTAACAAGTATCACTTGGTGCGCTGCGAGGTACGACCCAAAGAAGAAAGACTTGCTGAAGCCCAAGAGCGTTTGCATCAGAGTAAAACGGCGCTGAAGAAAATCCAAGACAAAGTTGCAGATCTTAATGCCAAACTTGAAGCCCTGATCTCACAGTACAACGAAGCAGTTGAATCAGCTAATGCCATTGAGCGTAAGGCAAAAAAGACACAATTAAAGATGGATCTTGCCCAACGTCTCGTTACTGGTCTAGCAGACGAAAGTGTACGCTGGGGTAACACCATTCAAGAGCTCCGGAATGCAAGCGAGCTTTTGGTTGGCGATGTTCTTCTGGGTGCCTCTTTCGTTTCATACATTGGCCCATTTTCAAAGGCTTTCCGTGAACGTATTGTGACAGAAGATTGGGTACCCAAGGTGAAGGAGTTGGGTATTCCAATGACGGAAAACCTTGATATTACGATGAACGTCCTTACAACAGAAGCAGCAGTGGCCTCATGGAACAACGAAGGTCTTCCTTCAGACAGAATATCAACAGAGAACGGTGCCCTTGTGACTAACTGCACTCGGTGGCCTTTACTTATTGACCCCCAACTTCAGGGTATCAAGTGGATTCGCACACGTGAGGAAAAGAACGGACTAAAGGTGATTCAAACATCACAAAAAACATGGCAACGCACTCTTCAGTCGTGTATTGAGGAAGGACTTCCTTGTCTTATTGAGTCTGTGGGTGAATTCATTGAACCAGTGCTAGATGGTGTTCTGAGTCGGCAGACTTTTAAAAAAGGTGGGCGTTTGTTCATTAAGCTTGGTGCGACGGAAGTGGAGTACAACCTCAAATTCCGTTTGTTCCTGCAGACGAAGATTGGTAACCCTTCATATGGCCCCGAGGTAAATGCCCAAACAACTCTTATCAACTTTATGGTGACAGAGGTTGGTTTGGAGGATCAACTCCTTGCGGTCGTTGTGAACCAAGAACGTCCAGACCTTGAGAAAAAGCGGGGTACACTTCTTCGCCAGATGAATACTATGACAATCGAACTTCAAAAGTGTGAGGATGGTCTCCTGTATGAACTGACAAATGCCACAGGTGACATTTTAGAAAATGTTGCATTGATCGAAAACCTTGAAAACACAAAAAAGAAGGCAAAAGAAATCAACATTTCTTTTGCCCAGGCGGTAGCCACTCAGAAAGATATTGCTCAAAGTCGTCTTACATATACCAAAGTTGCCGTGCGTGGTTCATTGCTATTTTTCCAGATTGATCAACTGTGGAGGATTGACCATATGTACCAGTACTCTCTGGAGGCATTTATGGTTGTGTTCAACAAGGCCCTTCTGAAGGCGGCGCAGCCGGAAGACAAGAAGGATGTTGCGAAACGGGTGGAAAACGTTCTTCAATCTATCATGGAAACCGTATTTGCATACGTCTCTCGTGGTCTTTTTGAGCGACACAAACTAATTTTGTCAAGTCTGTTGACTTTCGCAATCCTACAACGAAAAGGTGAAATTGACGCTAAACAGCTGGATTTCTTGTTGAGAGGAAAGAAAAAATTGGGCGTGCCACGCCCTGAAACTGTTGTGGAGTGGTGTCCTGAACCGAACTGGGCTGCAGCACAAGCTCTTGCCGACGTCGAGGGATCGACACCACCTTTCAGTCTTTTGCCAAGCGATATGTCAGAGAATAATCGCTGGAGACAATGGACTGAGACAGAAAAGCCTGAGTTGGAGAAAATGCCAACTGAGTGGAAAAACTTGTCGCAGTTTGAACGTCTTTTGGTGTTACGCTGCTTGCGCCCTGATCGTCTTACAGCTGCCTTGGAAACATTTGTATGCGATAGCATTGGTCGTTTCTTTGTATCTGACCAGGCCGTTGATATTTCTGCGTCGATCAAGGAGTCAACGACGACAACACCGCTTTTCTTCATTTTGTCACCTGGTGTGGATCCTGTACGTGCTGTGGAGGAGGCAGGTCGGAAACTGGGCTTTACATACGACAATGAGCGTTTGTACAATGTTTCACTTGGTCAAGGCCAAGAAATCGTCGCTGATCGCGCCCTTGAGAAATGCTTCCTGCATGGTGGCTGGGCGCTCTTGAACAACATTCATCTTGTGCAGAAGTGGCTCCGAAGCTTGGAACGACGACTCGACAACTACGCTGAGATTTACACCCGCGTGGCACAGTTGAGGAAAGAGCGTGATGAAAAACGAGCAGCAGCCAAGAAGGTTGCAGAGAATTCAAAAGACAACAGCAAGGATGACAATGAAGATGGTCCTGAAAGTGCGAATGAAGGTTTATCAGCAGATGTCTCGCAGGCTCTTGACGCGACCACAGGAGGAACAGAGGGAGAAACGAGTTCTGCTGAACCCGCAGCAGGAGGAGATGCAGAGGAAGAAATGAGTGATGACGATATTCCCTTTGAAGGCCCAAGGGGACATCCGGACTTCCGCGTGTTCTTGAGCGCCGAGCCTTCCAACGTCATTCCAATTGGAGTCCTTCAGCGCTCGATCAAGCTCACATCTGAACCGCCAACTGGAATTCGTTCTAATATTATTCGTGTGATGACCAACTTTAGCGATGAGCCGTGGGAACGGAGTGCGAAGCCAACAGAGTTCCGCTGCATTATGTTTTCCATGTGCTTCTTCCACGCCGTGGTCGTGGAACGCAAAAAGTTTGGCCCCCAGGGATGGAACAGGGTCTACCCCTTTAACGCAGGTGACTTGACTACTTGTATGGAAGTGGCAGCAAATTATATTGAGGATCGGCCGAAGGTTCCATGGGAAGACTTACGCTATGTATTTGGTGAAATTATGTACGGTGGTCACATTACGGATGACTGGGACCGCGTATTGTGTATGGCGTACCTTCGAACATTTATTGTACCGGAGTGCTGCGATCACCTTCAACTGGCGCCTGGACTTGACGTACCTCCTCCGATGACTTACAACGAGTACATGGATTGGCTGACGAACTCCGAAGATTTTCCACAGGAGTCACCCCTTCTTTTCGGCCTTCATCCGAATGCGGAGATTAACTACCGTACTGTTCAAGCAGATGTGCTCTTCCGTACCATCAATGAGCTACAGCCAAAACAGCACACTGGAGGAGATATGCTTAGCCCACAAGATATTGTGCAGCAGAAGATTGATGAGCTTCGAGAACGTCTTCCTGAGCCGCATAATCTACAAGACTTGTCGGAACGTCTTGAGGATGAACGAACACCACAGCAGCATGTGTTCTATCAGGAGTGCGAACGCATGAATCTTCTTACTAGCGTTCTGAAAGGAACGCTTGAAGAGCTGGATCTTGGCCTCAAGGGAGCACTCTCTATGACAGCGGCGATGCAGACGTTGTTTGACGAAATCTTTCTTGATAAACTTCCAGCTGTGTGGGAAAAGGTTTCCTTTTTGTCCTTGCGTGCGCTGGGGTCATGGATGGAAAATTTCCTCTTCCGCAACGATCAGTTGGTGAACTGGAGTGGTGAGCTTCAGACCCCAAAGGTAACCAACATTGCCCTTTTCTTCAATCCAATGTCGTTCCTCACGGCTATTATGCAAACGACTTCCATCACCAACAGTTTTGATCTCGATCAAATGTCGCTGGTGATTGATGTGTTGAAAAAGTCTGCCGATCAGATTGAGACAAGTGCCCGAGACGGTTGCCATGTCTCTGGCCTTTCCATGGAAGGCGCCCGTTGGGATTCCGGGGCTGCCTGCATTGAGGCTAGCAGGATGAAAGAACTCTATCCAAAAATGCCAATCATGACAGTGCGTTCGTTGCCGCTTTCAAAGATTGATCGCCGCGACCAATACGAGTGTCCAGTGTACAAGACTCAGCAGCGTGGGCCTGGTTTCGTTGTCGGCTTCTGGCTCAAGACCAAGCAGCCTGCAAAGAGGTGGACAATTGCTGGTGTTGGTCTTATTCTTGATGTTGTGGAGTAACAGAGCCTTGGGAAGAAAACTTCGTCAGTTTTCTTTTTTTTTCCCCTGGATTCTGTGTGGATGGAGTTTTTGTTTCTCTTCGGTATGTATACAGCGAAGATAAGATAGGCAACGAGGTATCCAAAAGGAAAAAAAAATGAAGCTATTGTACACAAGACTCTCTTCAAATGTAAGTAATCGCTGCCTCACATTCTTTACCAGGTGGTGGTGCTGTGTCAGGAGTAATGTGCGTTTCATAGTGTAATTCGTTACTGTCCTTGTATTGAATCCAGTTGATGTAATGGTTTTTTTTTTTNTGCTGTGTCAGGAGTAATGTGCGTTTCATAGTGTAATTCGTTACTGTCCTTGTATTGAATCCAGTTGATGTAATGGTTTTTTTTTTTTGTTTTACCCCCTCACTTTTCTTTAGCGTGGTGCTCTGCACTTTTAGATGGAAGCTCCATAGTTACCGCTCTATACATGGATATATAAATGCAAGGAGACAAATAGGAGAATGACACTCAGCATGTAAGCCACGCCATTTTTCGTGACGAATCCTGGGCAATCTGTTGCTATTGAGTAGTCTGACCCCAATAGGCGGTGACGATACAGCGCGAAGGGTTTGTGATTGTCGCCATCGTCTGCGTGCAGTGCCTGGTTTGTCAAAGAGTGGGAAACCAGGGGAGTTGAATTCGTTCCACTGGAAGCTTGCACATCCCTCTCCCCCCCCCCCCCCNCCCCCGAAAAAAAAATACAACTGGGTGGTGAGAGGCTACTCCGCAGCGCCGTTCCGAGGCTCGGCAAATTCTTTTTATGCCCTGAAGATGACCAGAAAGTCTTCCACGTGGCCTGCTTATTACACCGTTGGATAAGGTGCCCGAATTACCCCTGAGCTCTTTCTCCCATGGCATGCGCTACAAGGATTACGGAGATTTCATGAGTGATACATTTACATTGCTTTTTTTTCTGATATGCATGTTTTTTCTTTTTTTCTTTTTTGCCCTTTGCGGTGCTGGATTCGTGTACATTAACCGACGAGGACAAACATCCGTTTAATCGTGTGTTATGTTGCGAGTCCCACGCTGTATGTCTGTGCAGCAACGACGCGTTTTGCCCTGCTTGCGGACCCTAAGACCTTACCGATGAATTGGTCGGTCTAGCTTACGGCTGAATGATTGCGACTCCGTGTCCAGGAGTTGTTTCTTCGTGACGGATTATAATGCTTCAGGGAGAGAAGTTGGAATTGCAGCATGTGTTGCTTCCTTTCTGGGTTCTCAAGGCGACGGGGCGCATGCGAATCCCAATATTCATGCGTTTGCGTCTCTGTGTAGCGTGCCACACTTTTTGTGGTTGCACAATGAGGCGTGAGAAGTGCCACTGCTTGTAGTTTTTCCTTCCTTTTCAACCAAAAAGCAGCTCGTACGGACATCAAGAACATTGTGGGTTTTTTTGCTTTTCTTTTCTCCTCTACCATGATGTGGCATGGGTACACATCCTTTCTATTAGGGCCAGCTGGCCCTGCTCTTCTACACACACATACACCCACTACTGCGATGGATTTGATGTTCAGTGTGTAGTGTCACCACCAGTGCTGTTTGATGATGGTGGTGATGAAAAGTGCAGTGTTGGTGCAACACTTCTAGATGGGAAAGTCTGGGCACTGCATTCCCACACCACTTGACGTCGTCTCGGCGTGAAAAGGTAGGCGAGGGATATACCGACTGTCTTGTTTTGACCTATAAGGAAAACGTAGCCATTTGTGTGGCAGTGGCGCGCCTTGCTGTGCTGTAGTGGGTGTCGATGACGTTTTTTTTTTCTTCTGTGTTTCTCTGTGTGCATGCGTGTGCGCTGCCCCTTTTGTAGCCGCCTGGCGGCGTTCCTCTGTTACACGGAGCATATTCGGAGACGTTTTGCCGCATGGAGGTATGAGGCAACAGTGTGGAGGCTAATGATACTTCGATTTAAGTTGTTAATCGGGTTGTTTTCTTTGTGTGCGTGACGGGCGTGGTCTTTTTTTTTTGTTTGACTCATGAGGCTCAATATTGTGCGATGGAGGGTGCAGTACTCCACTACGGAAAGGGCTGGCTTGATGGTTTAAAATTCTATGCGATCGCATTATGGGAGGTGTGTGGTACCCGATGGTTACACTGGTGCTTATTTATTTGCCTTCAAAAATATAAATTTACTGATCCGGATTCGTTTCTTTTTTTTTTTACTCTCTGGCTTGCGTGCACTCTTGAAAGGCTCCGTTTTCCCTTAGTCTAATGCTGCGGCGGCTCTTCCGACCGAGGCCTACGCCGTTGCTGCTGCTAAATAGAGACGGCCCCTCTCTCTTTGTAGCGAGGAGTGGAATTGTGCAGCCTGCTGGCGTGCAGAATTTGCATCGTCCAGGCGAGTCTACTGCTGCGCCGGCGTCCTACGCGTTGCAACAGACTTCTGCAAGGCCATCGTTTGATGCAATTGGACAGTCCAACGTTAAAGTGCTACTAGCTAGAGCCCAGTACGCTCTTTTCACGTTTGGGTGTAATGGCACAACGGGTGATTACTCTCTCTATTGTGCGACCACGAACGAGCTCGTATGCATGAAACAGGAAACACTCTGGAAGGCAGTGTTTTGGATGGAAGAACGTATTGGTGATGAGTACATTGCAGGCATTTTGTTTCCGAGCGATGGCTCCGCAACTCTCAAAGATGCTGCCACCCTCCTGAAGACGAAGTCTCGAAAGAGAATTGTGTTAGCTCCAGACGCTTGGGGAATCGCTTTCTCGGCGCTTAAAAATCAGCAGGAATTTGTGCGTGGCATGGAACTCCCCTCCAGCCTCGAACATGCCGCATTTCTGCTGACAAGGACGCTCTACAAACCTTCAGTCACTGATCCCACAGTGTTCGACTTTATAACAGGGTCGTATATTTCTTGCTCATGCGCCGATCTTCCAGGTGCGTCACGGGACGCTCTACTCTGCTGGTGTGTTCTCTTCAACGTCCATAAAAAATTTGGCACGACTGGAAACCGAAAAGTCATGAATCCCATTGATCAAATTGTTCGGCGAGTCGTCAAGGCTGTCAACATCTTTGTGGTGGACATCAATGTTAGAGTTGGCAAGGGAACCATTGCCGAGGGGTTTACGATGATTGTGACGATCTATGATGCCCAAAAACGAACACAGACAGTTCATATGATTCGTAGTTTGGCTGAGGAGACGTCAAAACGTAATGCATTGAACGTTTTGCTCTATGGTGAGGGTACGTCGTCAATTTCTCTATTTGTTCCTACAGGGAGGACTAAGTCGGCGCAACTACTCGCCTTTGCGCGTAGCTGTCGACCGTCTTGCCCCTTTTTTGTTGCAGAAGTCTCGAGTTTAGCACCGTTTTTTGTGGGAACAAAAGTGGCGGAAGGACTCGACGAGGAAAAAGATCCACGCGCCACGTGGGCGACAATTCGGGCAAATTGTTTTCCGGAGAGCACACACAAAAAAGACGAAGAACAACTCGACAGGAAGCTGCAACAAGGCTTCACAGCCCTCGCCAATAAACTTTTTTCTGACCGATTACACCGTGTCTCGCCTACGTTGATGTCGTCGGTGAATACTATTCCCGTGCAAGAGGATGCACACAAAGCACTGGAGCGTGTGGGTAAGTTGGAGGAGGCCGAACGTAATAATCCTGTTCCACACGTAACGCAGTCAGCCTTTCTAAATAACGTCAACATTAACGACGCTGAGGTTGTGTTTCGTTTACAGCAGTGGCGCTCGAACATTTATGAGAACCCAGAACGTCTTGAGCGGGAAAATAAGGCGTTGGCGGGATTGAAGCACTACCTCGTCTTGGACCTCGAGACTACCACTGTGCGCCGCTACAAACGTGTCGCCAATCCATTCACAAAGGAGAACTACGTTGTGATGTCTGGTGCTCGCGACTACAATGGAAAAGTGTTTATACCGACACGTTATTTCAATCGAAATATCGCGTTACGATATGATGATTACAGCGTAACTAGCACATGTAACTTGGTGGAGGGCTCATCAATGTATTCGTTGTTTCTACCCCCCCTCGACGACTACGACGTTATTGTGGGACACAACATCAAGTTCGACTTGCTACACATATGGCGTGATGCAGAGCTGTGCCGGTTTCTCAAGAGAGGTGGAAAAGTGTGGGACACCATGTACGCCGAGTACTTGCTCACAGGTCATGAGGTGAAACTCGGCCGCGGCGCAGGTCTGGAGGATGTAGCGAAATCGTACGGGGGTCAGTGCCCAAAGTTGGACGCGGTAAAGCAGGCTTGGGCGCAGGGAAAGGAGACGTCCGAAATTCCGTATGCTACACTGAAAGAGTACCTTCATGGTGATCTGGAAAACACAGAGCTGATTTTCAAAAAACACACGGAACGCGCTCTTGTACAACGGCAGGCTATAATCATCGTAGCTCGTATGGATGGTCTCCTGTGCACAACCGAAATGGAGTACAACGGTCTCAAGACAAATGTGCAGCTCGCCATAACGCAGAGTAACGAGCTAATGGGCAAGGTTACGGAGCTTCGGAAACATCTTGACAACGCAATTCCAAAGGAGATTCCGGCAGACTGCCGAAAGTATTTTAACTGGTCGTCAAATCAGCACCTCATCGCCCTCTTTTTTGGTGGAAAACTGAAGCTCAACACAAACGCTCGTGAGAGTAAACTTCTGCCTGGGGAAACCTTTGATCGCCACACGTTATTTGTTCCAGCAGAAGAGTATACTAGAGACCGTTTTCCCAAAGGTGTGTTTCTGCGCCCACCGGTGCATGTGATTGGCCCGGCAGACTGTCTAATTATGGCAGGTGGCTCCCTGGTAAAGGGAACAAAGATATTCAAGACATATTACGAAGCGTATGTAAAACAGGCTGGCTTGCGGAAGAGTTCATCACTTACAGATTCATTAAGCCGCGAGATGGTTGCCGTGTCGAGGGTGGAACTTGATAAGCGCAGCGAACCTGATGCACTCGTCAATCTGCTCCCCAGGCGCCACCTTTTTTTGTTTGTGGCAATGACGCCAACTGCAGCTGGCGCCATCGATAAACTCTTCGTGAAGAACGCAGTGACAGGAGAATCCTTGACAATATTAGCAGATCAAACAGATAAGGCTTCGCGGTTACGCTCCTTTTTGGAGCAGCAGGTGAATGCGTACACAGAGATGCTACTTCCCGTCGATGAGGATGGTGATTCCGCGTCCAATGGTAGCGCCTTTGTTGATGCACACGTTACTATTTTGGCCAGGGATGCGCCATTCTCTTGCAGACGTTTGCTGGAGTCGGATGAGGGGATTAAGTCGTACTTGGCATCCCATGATGGTACCATCTCTAGTGTAGATGGGGTGCCACGCTATGTGATTAGCGTGGCTGATACAGTGTCAACACTTACGTATTATCGTCACGCGTACGGCGCTGCCACAGAAGCAGCGTGGAAGACTCGTGGTTCTTGTGACGAGTCAAAACTTGTATTTCCATTTAAGGCCTGCCCACGTCCAGGTCAATCAAAAACTGCAACAGCAGATGCATTTAGAAATATGCTTCTGCGTGAGGCCTCCATGAGGCCGGAGGAGTGGTGCAACTATTACATAGACATCTTTCTGCACATTGGTGATGCCGCTTTGAAGAACGATGCACTTGCGCCTGAAGTTGTGGTGAAAAAGTCGGTCAAGCCCAAGAACAAGGATATTGCAAGGAAGCTGAGCACTCTTCCAATTCTTCTACGTGAACGTCGTGCGTTTGTTGGGTATTACAACTCTCTTCCTGTTAATGAGAGAAGACGTTTGGCCCTGATGACAATGATGGGCAGGACGTGTGCCTCTGTTTACGATGCTTTTGGGGTGCAGTGCTCACACGACGATGTGGTGGAGGTTCAAATTCGTGGTCGTTTGTCTACGTATGTGCCGAGTCAACTTGATGCCGAGCAAGTGATGCGAAAGTTCCGGAGTACAACGACAAGGCAGCTTCAGGTGGGTGAAGATTCACTCAATTATTTTAAGAAGACCCACGGAGATAAGACGGCTGAAACGATCCTCGAGTTGCGGGCAATGGAGAAACTCATTGGTACGTACTACGAGAACACAGATGGTGGTACAGGAATGGTGTCCCTTGTGCATAGCATTGACAGCTGCATTCACCACGAGCTGATACACAACAAGACGAACACTGGACGCCTTGCAAGCGCTAATCCCAACTGCCAGAACATTCCAACGGAGGATAAATCACCACTTCGAGAAATGTTTGTTAGTCGTTATGGTGAAAAAGGAATGTGTATCGAGGCGGATTACTCACAACTGGAGGTTGTCGCCTTGGCTGTTCTCGCGAACGACCACCAGATGCTAGAAGATCTTCGATCCAATGTGGATTTCCACTGCAAGCGTGTGACAATGATGCGGCCTGATCTTCAGTACACTGAGATTCTTCAAAGAGCTAAAAAGAACAAGGAGCCAGAATTTGTAAAGTTGCGTCAGCAGGCGAAGATTTTTTCGTTTCAGCGCCAGTATGGTGCAGGGGTAAAGATGATTAGTCAGAGCACCGGCCTGACACAGGACCAGGTGCGCACGCTAATTGAAAAAGAGCGGGAGACGTATCGTGGGGTTGACATTTTCAACAACATTGTCGCTTTGTCGGCTAACAACTTTGATGCCTCACTTCAGGATGGCTCACGCAATGTGAAGGGTCATCAGTTTTTTAAAGGAATGTTTCCCGTTATTACTGGTAGCCGCTACGTCTTTACAGAATCGGATGTGCCGGAAGGTATGCTCCGCGATAGGTCTGTGTCTGCCAAATCAACGAACTTTTCACCAACGCACTTAAAAAATTATCCCGTACAGGGATTTGCGGGTGAGGTTGTGCAGATCATGCTCGGTGTCCTCTGGAGGCATTTCTTGCGAAATAACAACTACAGCGGACTGGCAGTTCTTACGAACACAGTGCATGACTGTGTATGGGTGGATTGCCACGACGATGTGTTTCTTAAGGTCGCCGACGAGGTGGACACAATCATGAGTAGCGTGCGGGAAATCCTCAATCGACTCTACCCAGAAATGGAGGTCACAGTGGAGTTCCCCTGCGACGTTGTTGCTGGCGAAAACATGGGCGCACTTCGCCCCATTGTTCGCGAAGAGATGTTGTAACGGTGTTCGATACGGCAAAGTTCTCGGTGATTGTTCTCTTTTGGTTCTGCTATTATTATTATTATTATCACTAACTACTGTTGATGTTTTTGTCCTTGTGTCTTTGGTAAGCCACGAGTCATAGACCGAAAGAGTAGTTCACTTCATAGAAACCAAAGAAAACAGGGAAAACATATGTGGACAGAAACAAAAAAAGTCTTTGTAAAATAAAACATGAAGAAAATGGCTAAAATTCTTATTGTGTTGCGTGGATCTTTTGTCGCCCATATTGAGTTGTGTACTGGGGGTACTCCTCTCCAACAGTATTCCTTGTTTTTTGTTGTTTTCTTTTTCTTGTGTTTACAGTAGCCAAGAAGACGATGACCAGGAGTGCTGAGAACAAGTTTGACGTGTGGTGTCTCGCCGATGGTCCCGAGGCGGTGATGGGCCGTCTGACTCCGAAGCCGTTGCCCTTATCAGCAGTACACGCCACGTCCTTGCGTGCCGAGAAAACAAGGGAACGGCTCACGCACTTGCATAGCATCATACAGCGCTCATTGGAGCATGCGGAGATTCCTCAACGGCGTCCGCGGGACGCTCAACATCCTCCTCCAGTCCCCACTGCTCGGGAGTCGCCGCCGTCGCCGTTAAAAGAAGGAGGAGGAGGAAGCTACCTGAATTGTATGGAGCAACTTGTTCTGGCGCAGTTTGAGAGCCTGGGTAGGAGAGATATTATGCTGGCGCAGATGGAGGCGTATGCGGCACACCAAGGGAAGTGGTATATGGCGATGAGTAATCTTGTGCTGCGTGCCCCAAGGAAACCGGATGCTGGTCTATGCTTGTCCGAAAATGTGGGTCTTATAAGGCCTCATGCGCACAGCAACGAATCATTTTCTGAAGAACGGCTCTCTGATGCTAGATCCAGCCCACACAGTCTGTTAAATTTGGCCTGGGAGGAGAGTAGTGATCGTCACTCTTTGACGTTGAAGGAAAATACTAATTTTAGTTCAATATTACTAAATGCTGGTACATTGCAATGTCTATCGAGTGTCTCGAGAGAGAGTGACGAGCTAAAAAACGTGCTTGATGGAACTGTAGTGGTACTGCGTCAGTCAACTGGGGTTGCGAAACTGCTCCTTCGATGGGAAACTGAAGAGGACAGAGAAGATAGCAACCTATGCGACACAAAACGCAGTTTATCGTCAAGTAGAGATATTCACATCGTGCCGACGACGTTTCTCGACGCAACAAAGGAATATGTGGAGAGTATCGGCTCACAAGATGCATTTCCTCTATACTGCAATGCTGAGGTGGGCACCGGCAAGGCGCTGCTGAGTCCATCTGTAGTTGAAGATGGTGCGGCTGAGCAGTCCCACATCCAACGTTGTTCCATCTTTTCACCGATGCGCTCCCCAAAGCAACTTGTCGTCACACAACCAGACAAATATCCATCTATCGCCGGCCACATGTATCGCAGCTGCACCCCTGACGTGACGTGGCAGCTCCGCTTCTACAAGTTTACCAACGGCGTGTTGCGCTTCTCAAAGCCGGCACCTGATGGAAAGTGCCTTCACTGGTGGACAGTGCTTACCGCCAATGAGATCTTGCACGTTGAACTAAAGGAAGGTGAAGGCGGTATCGGTGAGGCGAAGCCCCCCCTGTGCTCAAGTGAGAGTTGTTGCTTTTCTGTTTATTTTAAACGACGCTCCGATTATTCCCAAAGGAGACTGCGGTTATGCTGCACGAAGCAAAACGAGACCATCACATGGTTCTTTGCGTTGCGGCACGCCGCACAAGTAGCTGCGTCGCTTAGCACGGCAGCTGCACACGGTCACTGACCTTATCGTACCTTGTTTTTTTTTTTTTTNGGGGGGGAGAGGATCGTAGAGATCACGCCTTGTTGCTTGAGCCCCTTGCCAGTGTGCGGTACATGTGCAAGGAAGAAAGTGCTAACATGTTTTTCCTTGTGTTCAGCATATTTGGCTGCCAAGGGTGTATGATATAACGTGATATATATATATAATTCTATTTTCCTTTCAGTTTATTCTAAAAAGCTTTTATATTGTTGTTTCATTACAAAAAAGAAAAGAAATTATGGCGTTCATTGCCATTGCACTCGGTGTAATAGCCATTGTGGCGCTCAACTACGTGATATCCCGCGTTCGCTTCAAACCTGCCCGCACCAAATATGACTATGACGTCATTATTGTCGGTGGAAGCATCGCTGGGCCAGTAATCGCGAAGGCGCTTTCGGATCAGAAGCGAAGGGTATTACTTCTGGAACGGGATCTCTTCACAAAGCCTGATCGCATTGTTGGGGAGCTTTTGCAACCCGCTGGGATTGGCGCGTTGAAGCGTCTGAATATGGAGGGATGCGCCACATCTGTGGGTATGCCGTGCAACGGGTACGTCGTGATCGACGAGCACGGACAGAAAGTGGCACTGCCCTACAGGGCAGGCTTCCAAGGCTACTCGTTTCATTTTGGCGACTTTGTCAACAATTTACGGAAGCATGTCTGGCACAAATGCGCGGCTGATGTCACGATGCTCGAGGCAACCGTAAACGAGGTGTTGGTTGAGCGAACATCTTGTGTCGAGCGTGCTTATGGGGTGGAGTATTCCATCGATGTGGACTACAAAGCCCCAGAAGTACCATTTACTGGTGCACCTCAGAATGATCAAGCGGCAAGGGCGAAAGTTCGATGTGTGGCAACGGCTCCGCTTATCATTATGTGCGATGGAGGTTCGTCCAAATTTAAGGCGAGGTACCAGCATTACACCCCTGCGCGGCAGTACCATTCCAACTTTGTCGCTCTTGTCGTGCGTAATGCCCAACTGCCAGTGGAGAAGCATGGCACTGTTCTCTTTGGAAAGACAGGTCCAATTCTGGCTTACCGTCTCGATGCAAACGAATTCCGCATGCTTGTTGATTATAACAAACCAACTCTTCCCAGCTTGGAAGAGCAAAGCAGGTGGCTTATTGAAGAAATAGCGCCATGTCTCCCTGCTGAGATGCGTTTCGAGTTCATTTCTGCAGCAAAAAATATAAATGGTATTCGCTCCATGCCGGTAGCCCGTTACCCTGCAACCTTTCCTTCTATCAAGGGCTACGTGGGTATTGGCGACCATGCAAATCAGCGTCATCCACTGACGGGTGGCGGTATGACGTGTGCGTTTAATGATGCACTTCTTCTCTCTGAGAAGCTTGCGGCTATTCCCAAGTTGCGGAGTGATGATGCAACAGAGATGGCTTCTATTGAGGATCAAATTCAAAAGGTCATTGTGGGCTACACCCGGACACGTTGCTTGCACAGCAGTTGTATTAACATTCTCTCGTGGGCATTATATGCTGTGTTCGGTATTCCTGCCCTGCGTACTGCGTGTTTTGATTACTTTCTTCTTGGCGGCGATTGTGTGGCTGGCCCTATGGCGCTGCTGTCTGGTCTGGATCCGAGCCCCATTCATCTGATGCGACACTACTCTCAGGTGATGCTAAACGGCATGTTTAATCTTGCCACAGGCGGCGGTCCATACAGTTGCCGTGATGGAAAGGAACCTGACTTCTTTGCGAAGTGCATCAGGGCGGTTACATTCCTGTTCAACCCGTTCCGCTTTGCAAATGCATTCTGCATTCTGTACCAATCAATCCTCGTGGTGGTGCCGCTTGTGTACTACGAATTTGTTTCTTTCTGGTTACTGATGGACCCTACGAGCTTCATCCCAACTTTGGTACGAAGAGTGAAAATTGTTTTCTGCCGTGTTTTCCACGACGCGAAAAACTGGAAGCCTGTTGGTTTGTAGACCTGGAAAGAAGACACTTCGTTTTTTTTTTCTATATATATATAT